GTGGATCACTTGAGGTCAGGAGTTCAAGACCAGCCTGGCCAACATGGTGAAACCCCATCTCCACTAAAAATACAAAACATTAGCCAGGCGTGGTGTCATCAGACTTAGTTCATTCTGGCAAGAGATTCAGAAGGTTCCTGTCAAAAAAAAAATCACCACTGACCAAATTTACTAAATTGAACATGTTTCAATGAAACTGACCCTGGGTTTCTCTGGATAATTTTCAAGCCACTTCTGTCACCCTAGACCATATCCTTGTCTCCTGGTGCCATGCAGGGCATGGAGGGTGCTGCATGAGAACTCAGCAAATGTGAGGTGAAGGAACGAATAGGGCAGTGCGAGAGAGCGCTGACATATATGCAGGGGCACTGCACCCACTGAGAGGCAACTATACAGGCGACAGGCAGGTGACCTTCACCAACTGCTGTTGTCAGTCGACTGGGTGTGGTTCCTGATCTCAGCAAAGGGACTGGAAATGAAAGACTGGAGACCTCTCTCCCCAGTATCCCCGTTGCCCATTTACAGCTTGCCCTGGGGACTGTACACAGTTCCACCTGACCCTGGGGCTGGCCTTAGGGTACTGGGGCGGTGATTTTTCTACCATCCTCTGAGCTCCCATTTAACAGTGAAAATTGTCACGAAACACCTCTCTGCTTATTCGACCCCATAAAAATGTTAATTTATTCATTCCTCTCCTACTTTCCAAATCAACAGAAAAGATTTATGGGAATCCCACATGCTCTTATTCTAGAAATAATAACAACTTTATCACTTTACTGTCAGGCTAATGATGCCTGTTGTATGGTGTCCCAAACATTGGCTGCTCTAGGAAGGTGTCTATTCTTGCCTTGATACAGGTAAATGTCATCTACTTGATTGGCTCAGTAGCAGTTCAAAAAGTATTTTATTTGTAACAATAATTGCAACATAAGGAGCTAAATAATTTGCTTCAAAGACAATTCTCTACCACCCTATAAAAGTTTCATTTTGCATTACTTTCATCTCAGATATTACATATTATATCTTTCTGATCAGTGGTGTAGTATATTTTATTATATTTTCACCCAGTCTATCAATTGTTTCCATTTTTCTACATTCTCTATAATTTACATTTCAATCATTCCATATCATTCCATTTCCATAAAATTGCATTTCAATTGTTTTGTTATGTCAGTGCACTAGAGTTTAATAAACCATTTCTTCTAAAACTAGACAATTAAGTTGTTTCCAAGTTTTAACTATTTTAAATAGTGCTGCAGAAAATATCTAGGTTGCTGTTTGCTTCTGATTGTTTTCTTACGATACACTTCAAGGAGGAGAGTTATGAGCAGTGACACGGTGCCTTCCAAAATAGTTCTATGACTTAATCATAACCACCAGCAATCAAGAGCACCCGTCTCATGGCAATGTAACCAGCATGGGGAATAATTTTCAGGGGTTTTCTTGTTGCTGTCATTTTTTGCTGCTGTAGTTAGGTATGAGATGATATGATGAACTTATTTTAATTGGCCTTTTAGAGAAGTATTATTCTGAGAAAACAAACCCCCCTTGAGCATACATTTGAAGCTGCTGTCTCCTTCCTTGATTTCTTCGGCTCTTGCAGATGGTGGGTGCTGGATGCCTTGTGGTGCTGGAGTTTCCAGGCTGGTCAGAAGGCAGCCAGCCTAACCTAAGTGGGCAGTGCCAGGCACCCAGGCTGTTTCCTGGGAAGATCAGGCAGACTTGGTTCCACTCGTAAACAACACGTGCCGGCACTGGGGCTCAGAGATCCTGTCTTTACATCCTGAGCCTTACGCCTGGGTTCCCTTCTCTGTGCTCTTTGGCATTGCTGTGTCCCCTGCGGTCAGAACTGAGTCATCAGACTTAGTTCATTCTGGCAAGAGATTCAGAAGGTTCCTGTCAACTCCTCTGCTTTCCCCTGTTCACTTGGGCAGTTGCCACTTTCCTAGGATCACCCAACTCTTCTGTGGGTCATACCCATTAACTTGCCAGCACCATCTGGTTGGCGTCACGTTAGGATCCATTAAGGACAAATGGGAGCCTGTGGCAGAACCTTTCATTGCTATGACCAGGCAAAGTGACAGCTTTGAAAAATGACGCTTAGCCTCATTGACCCAAATGAGTGAGCGATTATCTCTGTTCTGAAGGTGGAGGTTTACCACTTGGTAAGCCAGGCCAATTACGATTCAGAATGCCACCTCTGTGCCCCTCCAGCTGAGTCCAGGGGATGGCAAGCACGTGTGAGCAGAGGACCTCAGATCAGGGCCTGATCAGATCAGGGCCTCACCAGGCTCTGGGGTGCTGGTGATGGAATCCACACCATTGCCTGCAGCAGTTGGCCAGGGGGGTACCAGCATATGTGGTGGGCCATTTCAGTCCCTTGAGAAAGTGTCCACAGAGAACAAAGCCTCCAGCCAGATCTGGACACACAGCCATCCATGAGTCAGGCCAGGTTCCACACAAGGCAAACCTGAGGGCCAAGACCAAGGAAGTCTAAGTGTCCCAGTGGCTATGAATCTAGACCTATCAGACTTGAAAAACCCCATCTTTTTGGTGACCACGTGAGCTCCCCTTTTCTTCTTCCCAGTTTAGTTCAAGAGTGCACGTGCCTCTGAGGTTCCCTTACCGAGATGGCTCTCAAAGTTGGGCACATGTGAGAATCCCCTGAAGGCTTGTGAAAATTCAGATGTCAGGGCCCCATCCCCAGTGTTTCTGATTCAGGAGACTTGGGGTAGAACCCAAGAATTTGCATTCTAACGGGCTACCTGCTGCTACTGAACCTGCTGGTGTGGGCACCACAGTTTGCCAACAGTGCTTTGTATGTTGATTGCAACATGAACTGGCCAGGTGTGGTGGCTCACACTTGTAATCCCAGCACTTTGGGAGGCCAAGGCAGGTGGATCACTTGAGGTCAGGAGTTCAAGACCAACCTGGCCAACATGGTGAAACCCCATCTCCACTAAAAATACAAAACATTAGCCAGGCGTGGTGGCAGGCGCCTGTAATCCCAGCTACTTGAGAGGCTGAGGCAAAAGAATTGCTTGTACCTGGGAGGCAAAGGTTGCAGTGAGCCGAGATCATGCCATTGCACTCCAACCTAGGCGACAGAGCAAGATTCCATCTCAAAAAAAAAAATAGTACATGAACTGCTCCCAGGTTCAAGACAGATGTAGGGCAGCACAAAACATCCAGATGTGGCTAGTCTCTGGTTGAGTTATAAGTAAAAAAAATTGTTGTTTCTCCCCAGCAGAGCCTCTACCCCTGAGATGAATGAAATGAAGAGGCTAGTCATGGACACGCACATGCACACACCCCCAGCCGCACAGACAACAGACTTGGGAATCACTGACTCACTCAGAATCTCCATTTCCTTATCTAGGGTCCAGCTGTATAGGGAGGGTGAAGAATTCTCCAAAGTAGCTGAATTGAGGGTCCTTCTCCTAACCTGCGAGTCTCTGTCCCCAGGCCTTGTATGGACACACACAGGCTGTCACATGCCTGGCAGCATCAGTCACCTTCAGCCTCCTGGTGAGCGGCTCCCAGGACTGCACCTGTATCCTGTGGGACCTGGACCACCTCACCCATGTGACCCGCCTGCCCATGCATCGGGAGGGCATCTCAGCCGTCGCCATCAGCGATGTCTCGGTAAGGCTCCCGTTTCTCAGTGTCTGTGTCCTCACCTTCGCAGTAGCATGGAGTACAACACTCAGCAGAAAGCCCAGAGACACAGAGACTCTGGCCACCCCGGAATGTTGAGAGGGCCCCACGTGTGTGGAACAGTCGCTGTAGATCTCATGTGCAGCACCCAGATCTAGCTTCAATGTCTGCTTCTTTACTTTCCTCCCTCTGGTGATGGGGACAGTGGGAGGTGTCTGCTTTGCTGCAGGCACCAGGGTGCTGCAGCAGAAAGACTGGTTTTTAGTGAGGGTTTTGCTAGACGTGGCTGACTCATTTAACTCTTTACCTTCAAATCAGTGTTGACTTGGCAGGTGTTTGGTCTTCATGGCAGTGCAAGCTTCTCTGCCTGTCCTTCCATACTGGCTAACAAAGATGAGGGAGATCAATTTATCGGTTTGAAATTTCTTCCAGACCAAAGCCCTGTCATGGGATATGGGGTTCCCTGAGGATGCAGAGGTTTCTGCATCTGCTCACAGAAAACCTAAGGGGCCCAGGGCATAAATAAAATGGGCAGAGGGCTCAAAAGAGGAAGGATGATGTAGGAGCTTCCTGGTTCCAATTTTTGCTGAAAGTGGTGCTCCAGGTGGGCTTGAATTCAAAACTGGATTCAATGTTAGATGAGTAGATGGAGTGTGAATGGGTGGGTGGATGGAGAGGTAGATCAGTGGATGCATGGGTGGATGGATGAACAGATGGATGGATGGGTGGATAGATGAGTGGATGGATGGATAAATGAGCAGATAAAGGGATGAATAGGTGGATGGAAAGATGGAAGAAATGGATAATGGATTGGTAGATGGTGGGTTGATGTATAGAAGAAGGCATGAAGCCTTCATCTGGGAGAATATAAAACCCATCAGGAATTGTGTCTCTAGACCCCAGAGAAGCCTGGTACCAGGACAAGTTGTCCTGCAGCCAACTGATTTCAGTCTGTGCTTGCTGGGTGTGGGGCAGAGAGATATCAGACATGGTCCCTGGCCTCAGACAGACCATCCCTAACAATTCTGGAAATTCTACAATGGATCCCAGACCAGGGGAATATGGAGGGGCACTGAGCCCCATACATCCGTTCTGTGATTAGGGCAAGGCTCAAAGGGATGGCCCCAGGGCCTCGGTGACAGTGGCCACTACAGAATAAACAGGACTTGAGGAGCAAAGACTCTAATGTGAGCATATCAGGAGATACAATGGGGAAATTTCTCCTCAGAAATTCCCTCTTCAGGGACATTGCACAAGCTTATGAGCCACGTGCAGTCATTGGAACCTCTGTACCCTGCCCTCCACCAGGTGGCATCCAAAACTTCTTTATGGGGCAGGGCTGGCCAACCAGGTGTAAGTTGTGTGTCCAAAGCCAGGGCTGCCCTTCAGGCTGGATCTTCTGTGGCAGTCAGGGTGTGGCTGGGGAGTGGGATCTGGGAGGAGCCTGAGGGTGAGCCAGGTGCCTTCTGCCAGGAAGGAAGTATCCAAGCACATGACTGCAGTATGAAAAGAAGCCAGAATTTACAACTGTGTGAAAACACAGCAGACCTGTAAGTCAGCTGGAAAGAAGTCTTGGGGTACCTTGGGGGTCTTCAGAGCATGGCAAATTGAGGGTACTTGGGTGTACCAACTGGGTAGCTGAGTATGTGGCTGATGGGCAGGCAGTGACTCCAGCTTAGAGTGATACCAGCTCTCACTGCACAGGGCACCATTGTCTCCTGTGCGGGAGCACACTTGTCCCTGTGGAATGTCAATGGACAGCCCCTGGCCAGCATCACCACAGCCTGGGGCCCAGAAGGAGCCATAACCTGCTGCTGCCTGATAGAGGGCCCAGCTTGGGACACAAGCCAGATCATCATCACCGGGAGTCAAGACGGCATGGTCCGGGTAGGTGTGTCTTGGGCAGAATGAGGACATGACACAAGAAATGTGTTCATCTCCATTCTTCTGACTTCCTCCAGGGGGCCAAACCTGCAGGTTGCATTTGAGACCATTCCAGAACAGGTACCTACAGCAAATGAAGCTGTAGGTTCTTTCCAGGGAAAGAGTAAATAAATAAAATTATATATATAGTATTACACACACAGACACACACACACATGCACACACACACACACACACAGACACACACACTAAAATAAACACTGTTACAACATATAAAAGTTGAATGGTTAAATGCAAAAGATTATATCCCAGTGCTAAAAGGAGATATTTGTGTCATCCATTCAAACAGAACTTGCCCACCTATCCACTAATTTATCTACCCACCAACCCATTTATCTCTCTACTCATCTACCCACCCATCCATCTACCCATCCATCTCACTATCCACCCATCCACTCATCCATCCATCCATCCATCCATCCATCCATCCATCCATCCATCATCCATCCATGTATCCATCCATCCATCCATCCATCCATCCATGCAGGCTGAGGCACCCAGGCAGTCCCCTCACAGGACTTTGTCTGTGGCCTCTGCAGAAAGCAGGGCATTCTGGGCTGGTCTGGGCTTGGTGGGGTGTGGCCCACATCGGTGGGACAGCCAGAGGAGCCTGGGGTGGCTGAGCTGCAGGTATATTACTCTCCTGGGCCCGCCCAAAGCATGAGTGAGGGTCTTCTGTGCACTCAGCGCTCATTCATTCAATGTGGTCACTGAGTTCCCAGACTGGCCCAGTGCTGTGCTAAGCCTGACATGGGGCTCACGGAATCATTTGAGAGGAGGCTGGTCCTTGCCCTTTGGTGATATAAAATCCAGATCCAGTGAGTGAGAAGCCATTTTGAGTGAGTTGGCCTCAGGGCTCCCACAAGCAGGCTTAGCACCAAGGGCCAGATACAAGATGGGGGTGCCCAGCCGCCCAGGGGTGAGGGAGGACTCTAGAGGTGGTGGCATTATGGGCAAGAAGGCATTGGTTGAGCAAAATGGTATAAACTGGTTGCAGAGTCACATCCCTGCAAGTGAAGGGTGGTGGGGGGATAGATGAGATGCACTTAGGGACATGGGTGGGGTAAACTCATTCAAGGTGCAACTGTGATCGGCCAAACCTCCGCATGAGGAAGCTGGAGCCTAAATAACCTTTTACCTGATAGTAAATTAACATCAGAAGTGAAAGGGGGGCCATGTCTTCATCCCTTCCCTGAGGGCCCCCCTAGGTGTGAGGAAATTGACTAGGCCACTCCGAGCTTGCAGACAGGATCATCTCCCCAGCCCATGACATTTGCTTTTTTGGGGCAGGTTTGGAAGACTGAGGATGTGAAGATGTCTGTTCCTGGACGGCCAGCAGGAGAGGAGCCCTCGGCTCAGCCTCCAAGCCCAAGAGGTACCTGACCTGCTAGGGATGTGGCTGTCCTGGCCTTGCCCTGCGCTCCTCACCTCCCCTCGCTCCACCTCAGCCCAAGGGCTGCAGCTCCTCCCAGGTCTGCAGAGCCTAGGGAGGCCTAGGGAGGCACAGAGAGGTTCAGTGACTTGCCCAAAGTCACCCAGCAAGCAGACTATCCTCACATCTGCTGCCATCACAGCCACAACGGCCTCAGAATAACCTAACCATAGATACTGGAATGTAACCACCATCACTAACCCCTCCATAATGAACACAGGTGAAAACCTCCCCATCAAAGCTGTCACCGCATCATGTCCATCACAGCTGTCTAGTCCCTGCCCCCATCATTACCTCCTCCAGCTCAGTCTTCAGAAAAGATTGTGGCTCAGAACTGGGACACCTTTATTGGGACCCATAATCAAACACGCTTTCATGAAGTGAGAATTCTATCATCCTGAGTGCTTCTGTTAGCTCCCTGTTTGCTCTGCATCCCAGAACCTGTGATCATCCACAGGAGAGAATTTCCCAGATTTCAGAGGGCTGTCTTCTGAAGAGAGTAGAGGTTTGCAGTTCATTCATTTCTAAAATACAGTCCACACCTCTTTGATTCATATAGTCACCCATTTGTGGATTCTTCATGCAAGCACACACAGGCATTTGCTCAGCCGCTACTGTGTCCTAGGCTCTATATTAGGGGTCCTTTCCTTCAAGATAAAAACACCTGGGGACCCTTGTCAACAATCTGGGCTGAGCCAGGACAATAACATCAAAAAGATCAATAACATCGCAAAGATGCAGATTAAGAACTGCATCAGTTTGCAGGTCCTGTTTCTCTAGGGTACTTGGAGACCACCACAAGGAGTCAGCCTATCTCAGTGTGAAAGGACAGAAGTGTGTGCATTCTAAGGAACTCAGCACATCTTTGGAAAGCAGAGGCCAAGCTCCCTCCCATATCTGCTCCCACTTGGAAAGGCTCTTATTCCCCAGCCTGCTTACAAAGCAGTTTTCTAGTACACCTGCATGAGACTGCACACCATTTTAGTTTTGGACTCAAATGCCCACTTTTGAAGCTACTGGGGCCCAGTAAGCTAATGGCATTAGCTAAGCCTATGGTTGATAAATGGATGTCTGAGAAAGAATGCTGGATGGATGGGTGAATGGATGGATAGATGGATGGATGGATGGATGGATGGATGGATGGATGGATGGATGGATGGATAGATGAAAGTCACCTCAGAGCCATTCAGTTGGTTCTGGCAGTGCCATTGGATTTGCAGGTTGTGGTGAGGTTGCACTCATTGGTCATGGGGTCTAGTGAATGAGAAGCAGGGTGAAAAGCAGGAAACGAGGTTCTAGACCCAACTCTGTCACAGCAACTTCTCTGGTCTTCTGTCAAATGGAGACACTTCCTGTGCATCCTAACTAGTAGAATACTGATGAGAGAATAATAGTAGCCACAGACAAGAATCTACCCCAAATGCAGGTCATTGTTGCCATTTTTGCAGACTTTTGAGAGATTTTTCTCTCTGCACACAGCAGCTGGTGGCATTAGGAAACTTACTTAAGGGGGTCTTAGACTGACAGGGAGCCCCAGATCCACATCCTTCCTCTCTGTCTACCCTGACCCGAAGTCACTGCCACCCCATTGGATTGACTGCCAAGATTGTGATTACGGTTCAAGGGAGGATTAACATGAAATGACAGGATGACATGGACATATTCAAATAATCATGTTGGGCTGAAGTTTAGAGTTAACAAATCTGAAATATGTGCAGATTTACAAGCCTAAACTGCTGGAGGTCTTTAATAAAAAGGCATGTTGTTCTTATGTTGCTCAAAACTGCTTTGTTGGAAAGGGACCTGTATTGGGCATGACACGTGAATATTTGCATATGTGTCCTCTTGGCATGTATATTACTGCATCCCTCAAATGTCTTAAGGGGCAAGAAAGGAGATCTGTGAAGATATTAAGCATACTGCATTTGTGGGAAGATGTAATCTAATTTCTGCTTGGAATTCATTTGTTTGCCATTTGCAGCAAGGCCCAGCCCAGTTGAATACAATTTATTTCAGGAATTGCCTCAAAGATTTGGACTCAATCTGGTACACAAAAAATACTTGGGAGAAGCTTGTTGTTTAGATTTGTACACAAATGTACAAATGCCTGGTGTGCTTTGAGGTGGTTTCTCCCACCTGGACCCCTCATGCGTTTCCTGGCACTTGGCCTGTGTGCACACATGGGTGGTCACCCCAGGACAGTGGGGGCTGTATCATCTCTCCTACCCTAAGTCCAAGGAAGTGGCCTCACAGGGACGTACCCAGCTGGCGTCTCTCCATCTCACCCTTCACATTGAAGGAATTACTGTCTGTCCCCAAATGCAGTCATTAAAATGAGTGAAGTAACAATCATTGAGTTATATTTTTTGAAAAAACATTCTCAGCATTTAATTATTGGTTGTGGCATGAGAGGATTAAGATAAGTTGATAATGCCGACTTTATGTAATTTATTTTTACTAGGCAATTACTGGCTGCATTACATCCTGGCAGCAAGGTATTGTGGGGCATCTTATTAAGCATAAAGCCAGTAAACACTGATGAACAATTTTGCTGAACTAGGCATGCAATTTAGAAAGCAATAATACACAAATCCAATTTGGTACACAATGGATACCGCGGCACGTCAGCACATGTAACTATCACCGCCTGCAAATTAAATTGGGACGGCCCTTTTTGCAACAGCACAGGCCAAGATTAAATATATTTCCCCCTCAATTTAACAAGTTGCTGACCACAAATATAAATATGTGCGTATGTGTTTGTGGCCCTGTGTTGCAGATGCACACTGCATGTGGGAAGCCGATCTGGTGTTCTAACTCTTCTCTCTCATGCTCCACACAGGCCACAAGTGGGAGAAGAACCTGGCCTTGAGTCGAGAGCTGGACGTCAGCATTGCTTTGACAGGGAAGCCCAGCAAAACCAGCCCCGCGGTGACGGCTCTGGCCGTGTCCAGGTAAGCGTGGCCTTGTTTCTCTGGGTCTCCAGCAGAGGGCACTGCAGCCACCTCTAGGAAAGCCCCAGTGGCTCTGAGTCCAGGCCACCTGGCCAAGGAGGCCACCTCACTCCAGGACGGGCCCCACCAAGCACAGGATGCAGCCTGCGTGGCCGTGTAGAGCCCCAGGAAATGTTTTTCAGGGTTTTGTTGTTGTTTGTTTTGCTTTTAACTCACACATGCCCTTGCTCTCTTGCTCTTGAATATCCATACATTCATTAAGAAATCCAAGAGGTAGAAGTCTATTGTTTTGTAATTTTATCCTAAAGAGAGCCTTTTCCCCTGAGTTCCACTGCCGACTGTAACATTTGGTGTGATGATTATCCTTCATTAACAGAAAGTGCCTTCTGAGGGCTCTTAGCTGCTGTAGCATAGCCAAGCGTCAGTCCCGACACTTCATACCCGTTATTTGACTCGCAGTAACCCATGGAGGTGGTTACTGTCATTAACATCCTTGTACACACCGGGAGGTGCAGCCTCAGGGGTCACTGACCTTGCAAAGCTGGCCTTCCTTCCCTCCCTGGCGTGGCGTGGGCTGTTCCGGCGTTCTTGGTGGGGGCACTACACAGTGTTTTAGATGCTGGGTGGGGTAGAGTGGGGTGGGGTGGGCATGGTGGTAGGGCCAGAGCCGCACTTTTTGCAGATAATTTGCCATTTGTTCTGCCCTGGTCCTAGCTATATCTCTGGCGGGACAGGAGACTCATCTGGAGGCACTGGAGAGAGGCAGGGCCTCGTCCTGCTCCCTGGGGCCTGAGCTCCCCCACAGTGCTGTGGGAGCCACCACCCTCACAGCTCAAATGCTCTCCCCTCCCCCAAGTGGAAACCTTCTCCACTCCTCCCACTACCTCCCCTGCCTCAGGAGAAATTAGGCCAGGGGCAAGCTCTGCTGGGCACTGGATAGAGTCCCAGAGTTGCAATATCCCGCGTGCTGGCGAGGACAAGTCGTCCTGTCCCGCTAACGTTCTTGTCTTTTCTTTCTCTTCCCAAGAAACCAGACTAAACTCCTGGTTGGTGATGAGAAGGGGAGAATATTCTGCTGGTCTGCAGATGGATAGGAAGAGAGAGGCAGCAGAGGCTCTGGCACTGCAGTGCCAGGCTGAGGGCGGCAGAGGTGACTGGGACCTGAGCTCTGCCTACAGAGGAAACCCCCAGGGCCTCCCTCACCACAACTCTCAAGGAAGGGCCTCTGCTTCAGAGCTCTACACCCCAACCTTCTCCATGACCCATGGGAATTCTATGAAAAAGATGAGTGCACACACTCGGAGGGCTGAGCAGCACTCTGGAAACTATGACTTGGTGATGCCCAGTTGCACACGAAATTACAGATGACTCACCTTATTAAGGGCTATTGCACTGAAAAAAAAAAAAAAGATGGGATTGCTTACTGGAAATTATTGTATTGTCTTTATTTTATTAAAGCAACTATGTTCTAAATGCAGAAGGGCTCTTAAGTTTTAAATTGCCACTCTATTTCACTTACAATGCTGCCTTTCTAAGTGTTTGTGTTTCTGTCCTGAGAAAGGCAGGAAGGCTTCAGGGAAGCACATCTGCCTGCACAGCCTCACCCAGCCCCTACCCGTCTTCCATCTTGGACACTGGCTCTTCCCCCACTTGCCCATAGTGTAGGGGCCTGAGAAGTGAGGGGCCACTGTGAAGAAGGCTCAGCCTCTAAGCCACAGGACATGGCTGTGGGTGCTGCCCATGGCAGACTCAGGGAGGATGGCCTGGGGTGATACACCTGCTTTGGTGACACACCCACCCCCATCTCCACAGCCTGCAACAGACAGGGGTTCCAGCCAGCTCTTGGCTCAGCAGTCTCTTCCCAGGGCCCTGGTCCACACTCCGCTTCTGAGCTGCAGTTCTTCCTGGAGAAACCTGCACTGCTGTGTGACTTTTGTTTTCCACCTGAAAATGTATGGCAGGTGGGTTAGTTACTTGTGCCCCTCTGAGGAATTCCAGTACCTTCTAGTGCTTGGGTTATTCTGGGATTGGTCGTTGGGCATCAGAGGTCTCACCCTCACTCTAATGTCTCCTCCTCACTCCAAGATTTGCAGAGCTCCTCAAAAGGAAATCCAGCTGCCTTTTTAATAAAGTCAAGCTCAGGTGGACACACAGGGACTTGGGGAGATTAAGCTTGCAAGCTTCAATTCCTCTTTCAGAGATCTCCCTTCCAGGGGCCAGGTGGGGATCCTGATCTTCCTCATGTCTCCAAACTCTGCAAAGGCCCTGAAGGGGGTCCTCACCTAATTTAGCCCGGGCCTAGGGATAGCAGGAATGTGCACTTCATGTCTTATGCCCTGTGGGTCATCTGGCCTCCAGGGGGCAACAAGTTGATTAAAAGATAAATGTTAAGAAAGTAGAACTGGTGTGCAGCCATGTCAAAAATAGTGAGAGATGGTTAGGATACTCTGATTCCTCTGTAAACTCTGAGGCTTTGCAAAGGAGAAGATGAAGGAGACCCTTCTCAGGTCCAGAGCACCCCTCCCCGGGTGAGAAACGCTTGTGTCTGACCCCAGTGCCAAGGATCACACCACCTCCCACACTGTCCGCACACGCTATTAGCAGACAGCCCATTTGCAATCCCCTGGTTGGTCTGGGACTGCACTGAAGGACCATAAATTTAAGAGCAGAGCGCACCACTCCCCACGAAGGCCAAGAAGCAGGGTCATAAATATCAAGGCTGAGTCTGCTGGCATTTTTCAAAATACATCACAGCATTACCCAGGGCTGACAAGGTCTGCTGGCCAAAAGGCTGTCTTCAACTCCTTCATTTAAGTGTTTTTGCCTCTTGTTCCCCTCAAATCACAGGGAAAATGAGGAGACAGTGTTGCGTCCTATTTCTGGGGTCCTAGGGATGCGGTGTCTGCAAACAAATGTGACTTGAGGTGAAAGGGCGAAAATGGACATCTCAGGCCCTAGGGAAGGCAGAGGGGACAGTCAGCTCTATCAGTCGGGTGGGGCTGCCATAACAATATTAAACAGAAATTCATTTCTTCACAGTTCTGGAGGCTGGAAGCCCAAGATCAAGGTGTCACAGGGTTGGTTTCTTTTGAGGCCTTTCTCTTGGTTTGCAGTCGACCACCTTCTGCCTGCGTCCTCACCTCGGCTGTCCTCTGTGCACATCTCTGTCCTCATCTCCGCTTATAAGGATGCCAGTCATACGGGATTAGGGCCCACCCATATGACCCCATTTCAATGGTCTCCAAGTACAGTCACATTTGGAGGTACTGGGGGTTAGGATGTCAACATAGAACCGCTCCAGGGACACAATTCAGCTGCCTATGGCACTGGCTGAAGGAGGTAGCCCTGGAGCCAGGCCTGGAACCTGCTGAGACAGACAGATGGGTTTGCAGGAAGACCAGGCTGCATCGGCAAAGGTGCAGGGTGAGTCAGGCTGGGGGTGTGAAGAAGAATGGACAAGGGCACAAGGGATGAGGCTGAGGGGGTTGATGAGGAGCAGCACAAGATGAGGCTGCTGCTCCTGGCTGTGGGGTAGACTCTGGTTACTGGATGGAGTGAGTGCAAGTGAGGCTGGCAGACGTGGCCGCCCACCCACAGAGCTGCATTCCTCATGCCAGCTCCCAGAAGGTGCCCCACAAGAGTCGGCCAAGTAAACGGACATGTAGATGAATGAATGAGTCTTGGTGGCAGATATGTCAGAACAGGTGGTCCTGGGATGGCAAGGTCAAGCAGCAGCCCCTCCATGGGCAGGGTGAAGCAAAATGGAGTGAAGAGGTGAGACTAATGAGAGGAAACTGTAAATGTCATGCCCCAGGCCCGGGAAATGACAGGGGACGAAGCCAGGAGCTTGGGAGTTTGTAGTGAAACCATGAACGCCGTTGTCAGAAGCTGGAAGCTTTAGAGGCATCTGTGAATCAGGGACAGGCTGTGGGTGAGAACGCCCATGGAGGAGCTGGGGAGGCTGCAGGAGACGGCTCCATGCTGGGCTGCTCCGGTGGGGTCCTCCAGGATTAGCTCACATTGCAGGGAGGAGGGAAGCCGCTCTGCACCGAAACCCTGGAGACAGCACATGCACCCTTTGGCCCGCACAGATGTGGCCCTGCTATAGACTCCCAAGGCGTGGGAAGCAGAGTCCACTGCCGGAGGCGAGGGCAGGGGGCAGTCAAGCATGGATGCGGCTGCAGAGGAAAGCGCCGGGGGCAAGTGAGGCCCAGGCTCCAAAAGCTCTGGGCAACTCCAATGACAGGAGTCGCCTGCTGACCCAACTGGTCTACGATGTCTGGCCAGCAGGGTTGGGGCTCCTGACAGCTGTCAGTGGTTGAGGGAGCCCAGGGCAGAGGCCTGGAGTGCAGGGAGAGGAGAGAACAGGCTCAGTGCCCAGGCCCACAGCTGAGGTAGCCAGGGAAGAAGCCAGGGGCACAGCCGGCCTGGGGCCCAGGAGCAGGACCATGCCGACACCAGCCTCACCAGCACACCAAGTCCAGTGGGGACTGGGGGACCCGTCCCAGCACCGCATGGTATCTAGAGGCCGAGACAGGAGGACAGGCATATGCACAGTGAGTGGGTAAGAAGGAGGCCAGGCCGCCTGAGCGTCAGGCCCAGCTCCACACTTCCGCCAGCCTTGGCCGCAGCTTCTGCATCTGTGAAATGGGATCCTGGTATCTACCTCGGGGCTCCTCGGGACAGTAACATCGTATCTTCTTATTTTATAATAAAATAAAATAACAGTGGATGAGGCAAACAAGACTGCCTATTCTGCTGTGACACAAGCTCTTGGCTGCTTCACTCACCAGTGTTTTTCTTGCTCAGCCAGTCCCTGTGCCAGAGCGCTGGGGATGGAGGAACCCTGAGCCTGGGACACAGAGAACACGGGACAGCAGGCGCAAGACCCGGCAGGCCCTGCGCCCAGGGCTAACCAGGCTGGAGCAGGGCAGGCACGCTTCAATTGTGCTTCTTCAGAAATGTCCGGGAAAGGAGGCCCAGCTCTCAGGCTCCCCCGGGCCCACAGACTTTGTGCCTGCTCATGGGGAGCAGAAGCCTCAGGTTGCACGTGTCACCCTCTCCCAGGGAGTACAGGTCCCGGAGTCCCCACTGGGTTTGGAGGAACTCCAGCACTGACAGCAGCAGGCTGGGGTGAGGATGGAGGCAGGCATTGCTGCCCACCCTGTAGTCTCAGGACAGGGGCTTCCCCAGCCTTTGGGGTCAGAGACCCCCATAGCCCACTCACTTTTCACTTCTGAGCTCAGCTCCTAGACAACAGCCATGCCCCGCTCTCCCCCAGCAGAAGTCCCCTCATGGAACACCCATCTCGGGCCTCTCTGCATTTTCCACATCCTCTAAGAGGCCAGGGAAGGGCAGCCCAGGGTGACTGATGGGCATCCTTCCCACTGTGGGTACCCAGGAAATCAGGTATCTCGGGCACCACTGTGCTTGCCTGAGACCAGCATCCAGGCATGCTGGAGTCCCTCTGGGAGGTGAGTTCACCCACAAGGCGGGCCGCACACTAAAGCTGTGCCCATCTCTCCACCTGGACAGGCCTGGCCAGACTGGGTCATACTTATGCTAACAAAGTAGTCGCTGCTCATCAGAGATTCAACTTCTCCCAGGTGTCTTGCTTTTGCGTTTGCTAAGTCTGGCCATCCTGCTCCCTGGACCTCTTAGGCGCAGGAAGGATGGTGCTTTGTCAGCAGGCCTGGGAGACGCATAAGTACTCAGTGTGTGACCCACGAATTGCTTGTATTCAACGAACTGAAATTCAACAGCAGAAGCTCTTGGAGGGACCATGTGGGGCTCTCTGTGCCACTGACAAAGTTTCCAGGGCTTTCTGTGTACCTCCATGACAACCCTATGGGAACCACAGCCCCTACCCCACATGGGTCTTCTTCTTCCATTCCTTTGAGCTCAGGGATCCTGGGAGAGAAGTTCAGTCCTCTGGAAGCCCCTGTGACAGCACCTTCCTCCCCCAAACTCAGTCAGCAACTGAGAGTCGTATCCTGAGAACCCAGTCATGGGGCCTACAGAGAACTCAAAGATTGGATTTAACCACATTAAAATGCAGCCAAGCAGGGCACATATGGGGAGGAATAGGCTCTTCATATGAAAATCCTGATGAAATTTGTTTAGCATAAAATCAAATCTCTCTAAGCTAAAATCAGTTTTGCTTTAGTAAGTTCTTGGGTGCACATCCACATCCCATACCCGGATCAGGGTGTGTGTGTGGGGGGGGGGGCAAGCTCACATGTGATTGTGTTATTTCCAATTGTTCTCTTATTGGATGCTGCCTGAAGCACCTTCATGACTTTCTTAGTAAACAGGAAGACCCTCCAAATTGCATCCTTCCCCCGAGACCCTGAAGGCTCAAAGAACACTGTTGTATCCTGATTTGAGATCTCTGCCCCAAAACCGGTTCATATGGAGACCCCACTTGTCCATGACATTTTACTGCCTTTTGCCAGAAATGCACCACCATAAATACAC